GATTTTTTTTTTTTTGTCTTTTTGAGACAGGGTCTCCCTGTAGCCCCCGCTGTCCTGGAACTCACTATGTAGACCAGGCTGGTCTTGAACTCACAAAGATCTGCCTGCCTCTGCCTCCCAAGTACTGAAAACTGTCTTTTGAAGGATTAAAACTGCACACACATGCCCTATTTTACTTGAGAGATTTGGGTTCTTTTAGTGGCCACATAGGGCTGAGTATCCCTTATTTTAACTTCATGAGATCAGAAGTGTTTTAGATTCCAGAGGTTTTTAGAAATATTTTATTTATTATTTTTATTTTATGTGTACGAGTATATTGCCTGCATATATGTGAGTGCACCCATGTCGTGCAATGCTGAGGAGGTCAGAAGAGGGCTTCGGATTCCTCTGGAACTGGAGTTAAGGACGGTTTGTAGCCACCATGTGGGTGCTGGGAATTGAACCCAGGTCCTCTGCAAGAGCAGTCAGTGCTCTTAACTGCTGAGCTAACTCTCCAGCCCCAGATTCCAGAGTTTTTTAGACTTTTAAATAACTGCACAAACTTTGTCAGCTGAGGATCCTTGAAGTGAAAATCTGAAATCCGAAATGTTCCAAAATCCAACATTTTTTTGAGTGCTGATTTGGGAACATCCAGGTTTTGAACTTTTGGATGCACTTTCAACTCTGTAGTGAAAACCTGGGTGCTGTGTTAACTCTGGCTGTCAATGGATCAGCTGACTTACAAGTTGCTCTTGTAACATCCCATTATGACCAACATGACATGGAAACGAAAATCAGAGAGAATTTGCTTCAATTGTATCTTGAAGCAGTTTATTTCTAAAATTTTCTAAAGAATAAATGAACAGCGCATGTCTACTGAAAGTAAATATTATATCCGATTTAATACCTAGATAAGTTCATCATTCACAGACAGAAACAGTCTACGTGAAGGGACAAGGGATAAAGCTTGGTTGTAGAGTGCTTGCCTTGCATGCATTAGGCCCTGGGTTTGATCTCTAGCACCACAAAAGAAAAAGAAATAATTGAAAAGTATTCATTATATAATACAATCAACTATCTTAAGTATTGTCATGAAGTTTTAGAAAGCTAAAACTTACCACAGAATTTCTAAGTTTTTCAGGCAGTGGGTCTTTTACTTCAGACAGAGGGTCCTCTGGGTTTTTCTCTTCAGTTTTGGGGAAAATCTTGGATTGCATCAAAGAACTTTAAGTTTAAAAAGAAAATCAAGAGAAAACAATTAATAGAAAATGCACACTTGAAAACCAGTAATTTAAACAACGAAGTTTAAAAACAAGAAATTCAACTACATTTAAGCACTAGGATATGTAAATCATACGATCTTTACGTTGGTATAAATAAGCGTGCAGTGAAAACATTTCTATTAAAACCTGGGGAGGGAAAAACCCAACAAACACACTCGGCTGACATGATCGGCATGTCCCAGTGTTAACAACAGAGTGAGCCACGCCTTCAACAGGAGCTGGGAAAGGGGGTCTGGAACTACTAGAAATGCCAACTTACTTCAGTTTCTTCAACAACAACAGATTTCACTTACAAAAGTACAGATGGATCACTGCTTTGTCGACTGAGATGATATGACACTGCCACTAACAAACCACAAAACACAGAGAAAAGTACTGGAATGTGCTGGCCATCCCAGGAATCCTAATGAAGAAAGAATTCAGAGAAAAATACTCTTGTAATTTATAATGTTTTACATACCCCTTTTATATCAATATTTTAGAGAGAACAAAAGTTTTATAGCCATATTAGAAATTGTACTTTATTCCAAATAAATTTAGATACTACTTCCTTTTTCGTTTGAGACAGGGTCTCATGTCACCCCAGGCTGGCCTCAAATTTGCTATGTAGCTGCAGATGACCTTGAACTCCTGATCCTTTTGTCTCTATCTCCCCCCAGTGCACCACCACACAGGTTAGGTTCATTGCTTTCTGATGACCTAAATCTAGCTGCTAGATTTCTTTTGGGAATAAAGCTTCAGATTGATTTATTTTTGGTCTTTTTGAGACAGGGTCTCCTTATAGCCCAAGCTGTCCTGGAACTCACTATGTAGACCAGGCTGGCCTTGAACTCACAGAGATCTGCCTAGCTCTGCCTCCCAAGTGCTGGGATTAAAGGTGTGCGCCACCACGCCTGGCCCTATTATTTTTGTCTTATGTGTATTTATTATTTTTATCTTATGTGTATGAGTGTATTGCCTGAATGTATGTGAGTGTGCCTGTGTCGTGCAATGCCGAGGAGGTCAGAAGAGGGCATCTGATTCCCCTGGAATTGGAGTTAAGGACGGTTTGTAGCTGCCATGTGGGTGCTGGGAATCGAACCCGGATCCTCTGCAAGAGCAGTCAATGCTCTTAACCACTGAGCCATCTCTCCAGCCCCAGATTTTTAAAAAAATTTAATTTAATTATTTCTTTTTGAGGCTGTGTCTTCCTATAGCCCCAGCTGGCCTGGAATTCATTATGTAGACCAGGCTGGCCTCAATCTCACAGAGATCTGCCTGCCTCTGCCTCTCCAGTGCTGGGATTAAAGAAGTGTATCACCACGCCCAGCAAGCTTCTGATTTTTTAAAAAGCTTTATTCACTTACTAGGAAGAACTTGCTTCTACATAGTGCTACCCCATCTTTGATATTTTAAGTAATCTTAACTCTTTGGTTGGTACAGTATTTCCCACCTCACCTTTTAAGTTTAATTAAATCTTCGCTCTTTTTAGGGAACAAAACTGGAAAACCCACACCATACCCACTTGTTCCCAACTATATCCTAGAAAGAACAGAATACATTTGCTTACTACCTATTTGAACTTAAACTTATTTTAGTTTCCTTACCCCAAAGGCCAAATAAAGTACTTTTTAAAAGTCACCAATAGTTCATCAACTACCAAATTCACTAAAAACTTTCAGACTCGTGTGCCTCTGAACTTTCCCCTGCGGGCTTCCATTCCATCTAACACGTAAATATTAACATTTCCCAGAACTCTTGCTCATTTTTCTCGTCAATTCACATTAGCAGTCTTTTTCTATTACTTAATTTTGTTGATGGTTTTTACGTCTATTAAGCACAACCAGAAATCTCTTTCTATACAACTACCTACTATGTGCCTCTGGACATTCCATAGGTACCAACAAATAAAATTCCCACGTGTAAAAAAAGATCTCCAATACTGTGGAGTAAGTGCCACTGTGATGCCAGAAGTTCAAGCCAGATGGTGCCCAGAAATCATCTTGGACCCTGATTCTAGGTCTCTTTTTTTTCCCCAAGATAGTCCCCAGATCCACGCATGGATTCCAGCTTCAGTCCCTCACTATTTCCAGGCTGGGGCTCAACAGACAGCATAACTTTTACAGCTTTCGTTACTCTGCACTGACCACATTGGCTGACTTAGTAAGCACAGCTAATGCCAAGCTCCCAAGGCACAGGATGTGGCTTTTAGCACAGTTCCCATATAGTAGGTGCTTCATAAAGGATAGCAAGTAAACAAAGCAGAAGGGCACTGTGTTCCCTCTGTGTTTCCCACCTTACTTTTTTTTTTTTGGTCTTTTTGAAGCAGGGTCTCCCTGTAGCCCCAGCTGTCCTGGAACTCACTATGTACACCTGGCTGGCCTTGAACTCATACCACCTGCCTCTGCCCCCACCCCCAAGTGCTGGGATTAAAGGCATGTGTCACCATGCCCAGTCCCACCTTACTTTTTCTCATTACCTTGCCTTAATTAAAAACAAAACCAAAAAAATCCAGAAATATGTGTGAAGGGTTATAAATGGTCCACTAAAAATTTTGTATATGTGTGTGTGTGTGTGTGTGTGTGCGTGCTTGAGACAGGGTCTGCCTATAGGCCCAGCTGGCCTGGAACCCTGCCTCCTGTGCCTGGGGAACAAAGGTATGCACCACCATACTCAGGTTAAGTTTTTAAAAAAAGATTTATTTACTTTAATTTTATGTGTATGAGTGTTTTGCCTGCATGTATGAATGTGTACCACACTGCATATGTGGTACCCGTTGAAGTCAGAAGAGGGCATCAGATTCAAAACAGCTGTCAGGGGGCTGGAGAGATGGCTCAGCAGTTAAGAGCACTGACTGCTCTTGCAGAGGACTTGGGTTCAATTCCCAGCACCCACATGGCAGCTACAAGCCATCCTTAACTCCAGTTCCAGGGGAATCCGAAGCCCTCTTCTGACCTCTGTAGCACTGCACAACACAGGTAAACTCACATACATGCAGGCAAAACAACTCATACACATAAAATAATAAAAATAGTAAATAAAATATTTTAAAAAAACAGCTGTCAGACAGTGGGTGCTGAGAAATGAACCAAAGCCCTCTGCAAGAGCAGCTGCTGAGCCATTTCTTCAGCCTCCCCCAAATCTAAGTTTTATGTTTAAAATTTGGTGGCAGAATTTTAAAAGGGAACTCATACGGCTCAATGAATATTTTCTAAATCAAACTAACCTTAAATTTCAGTCTATTTTCACTAGCATGTATCTTAGATTGCAGCCTTTGAACTTATTTTGTTGTTTGCTTTGCTGTGTTGGGGACCAAACAGAAGGCCTTGGGCACACCAGGCACTTTACCACTGAGCTATACTCCTAACTAAAACATCTTATAAATGTTAAGTAAGTCCCGACATGATTTACATAAATCCTTAACTAGAAATCTAAATTTAATTTCATATTCTGCAATTACTACACCTGCCTCTATCCTAGATGAATCTAGCTTTCAATAAACTGTTTCTAATATTAACCTATGATTATTGTATGGAAAAGGACTTTCTTTTAATAATAGTTAACCGCTAAACACATTTCCGATTCAAAGTAAGCAAGAATAAGAATTAAATTGAGCATAAGACAACAATGGAAATTAACAATCAAGTGACAGTGGCAGGGCCATGGGGAGAGTCAGCAGTCAGCTTTAAACTATCCACATGGAAGTCTAAGTTAGAGACAGCACATGACAGTTCATCATTCACCTTTAAAGCTCCGTAGCACAGTCCATACAGCAAGGCAACAGCCACAACACTGCAAAGGAAACTGTACAGTGCAGCCAGGAGGCTGCTGGTGGCTAGACAGTAAGGAGAAAAGAGATCAGGGTTTTAGAAACACCTATAAAAAAATCCAATGCACACAAAAGCATTTAAAGTACGTTAATACTTAGGCGCTCATGTGACTTAAAAATTCGGTTACTTCATCTTTCATCAAATTTGACATGACAAGGATTTGCTTCCTTCAATATTTTGTTTATTGAGATGGAGTCTTAACTCCTAGCTCAGGCTGGCCTAAAACTCCCGGAGATGCTCCTGCCTCAGCCTCCTAAGTGCTAAGATGACAGGCCTCAGCCACCACATCCTGTTTGATGTCTTCAAACCTTGATACAAGATAAAATATGTACATCTCAGAATCTCACAGGATCTATGCTTCAAGAACATATCTTATGTTAATAAGAAGTATTAGAAAAATGAGGCTTACAGAGGCCTAAAACTAAATTGCAGGAGTATTAATGAATCACTGAAAGATATCTATGTAAAAAGCACTTGCTTTACCTATAGCAGTAAATCTGTATCCCACTTGTTAATTCTCACAAAAAGTACAGATCTCATTATTAAAAATATCAGCAGGCAATGATCCAGTTAGATTTCTAGTAATAAGGAATAGGTAAGGTTAAGATAGTTAGCCTTTATTTTGCAAATATAGATGACAGGGTTTCTTTAACATAATTTTATATAATGATCATAACAGAAGTCCAGAGGGAATATTTATTAAGTATTAGAACCTGACACTTTGTACGTTTGTAACTTATAATGACAAAGCCAATACTATAAATTACATATACTGAGCCCTCACCATGTACTTAAATAAGTATAACACCAACAGTAGTCCTTAAATACTGATACTGTCTACTGCCCATTAAGCTATGCTACTCAATGAAATCAGCTGTTTTAAATTATACACAATTAAGAAAAAATTTCAAAACATCAAAAACACTCTGGTATGATATACAGCAATACAGAAGAGTTTTAGTTTCTATTTAAAATTTAAGCCAGAGGGACTGGAGAGGTGGCTCAGTGGGCAAGCGTGCTTTTTGCTGTGCAGGCGTGAGGACATTAGTTCAGATCCCCAGTACCCATGCAAAAAGTTAGGCATGGCTATATGTGTTTGTAATCTTAGTCTTGTGGGGTGGAGACAGGTGGATCCTAGATCCCAAGAGCTCCCTGGTCAGCCAGCCTAGCTGAATGGGAGAGCTTCCAGCTCAGTGAGAGACCCTGTCTCAAGGCAGTGAGGCAGAGATAGATAGAGGGACATCCTCATTTGCCTTCCACATGTGTGAAGGCACACATGCATGTGTGTACATCACACACAGTCCCTCCCATATATACAACAATAACAACAGGACAAATGAAGCCACAGCTTCAACATTTTATCGAGAGGTGACTTCTGTGCATGTGAGTGGAAGGTAGATGAGGACTACAAATGCCAAGTGTGAAGAGACGAACTAGAAATGAAGACAGCCCTTCCTTTTGGAACAGCTTTCTATTCGCACTCTCTTCTTTCAGTAAAACATAAAATGGTGAAGGAACAGGTATTTTAACTACAGTAGCTGCCAACAGTGCTATTTTCAAGTTGTGCAAGCTACTATCTAGTCCAGGTCAATACCAGTATTTAAAAAAAGTAGATGCATGAGAAGGAAACTGGTTTTTCTAAGTTATCAATTTGCACATACATAGTCTACTCTAAAAACAGACAGTTCTTACAAGCTTATTTAGAAAAATGCTTTTAGATTCCTGTTTGGGCATTCCACTCTCAGGAAAACTGGAACTGAATATGTGGAGGTACCAAATGCACACTCTCCCAGTGCAGACACAACCAGACCTGGGTCTAGCATAAACCCCTGATGGCTGTGCACAGGCTCCGGGTGGAACCTCACTGTAAACCTCCTTTCCTCAGTCTGTTATAAACACCTGATGATTGTGCACAGGCTCCGGGTGGAACCTCACTGTAAACCTCCTTTCCTCAGTGTTATAAACACCTGATGGCTGTGCACAGGCTCCGGGTGGAACCTCACTGTAAACCTCCTTTCCTCAGTGTTATAAACACCTGATGACTGTGCACAGGCTCCCGGTGGAACCTCACTGTAAACCTCCTTTCCTCAGTGTTATAAACACCTGATGGCTGTGCACAGGCTCCGGGTGGAACCTCACTGTAAACCTCCTTTCCTCAGTGTTATAAACACCTGATGGCTGTGCACAGGCTCCGGGTGGAACCTCACTGTAAACCTTCTTTCCCCAGTGTTATAAACACCTGATGGCTGTGCACAGGCTCCCGGTGGAACCTCACTGTAAACCTCCTTTCCTCAGTGTTATAAACACCTGATGGCTGTGCACAGGCTCCCGGTGGAACCTCACTGTAAACCTCCTTTCCTCAGTGTTATAAACACCTGATGGCTGTGCACAGGCTCCCGGTGGAACCTCACTGTAAACCTCCTTTCCTCAGTGTTATAAACACCTGATGGCTGTGCACAGGCTCCCGGTGGAACCTCACTGTAAACCTCCTTTCCTCAGTGTTATAAACACCTGATGGCTGTGCACAGGCTCCCGGTGGAACCTCACTGTAAACCTCCTTTCCTCAGTGTTATAAACACCTGATGGCTGTGCACAGGCTCCCGGTGGAACCTCACTGTAAACCTCCTTTCCTCAGTGTTATAAACACCTGATGACTGTGCACAGGCTCCCGGTGGAACCTCACTGTAAACCTCCTTTCCTCAGTGTTATAAACACCTGATGGCTGTGCACAGGCTCCCGGTGGAACCTCACTGTAAACCTCCTTTCCTCAGTGTTATAAACACCTGATGGCTGTGCACAGGCTCCCGGTGGAACCTCACTGTAAACCTCCTTTCCTCAGTCTGTTATAAACACCTGATGATTATGCACAGGCTCTGGGTGGAACCTCACTGTAAACCTTCTTTCCTCAGTCTAACACCTGATGATTGTGCACAGGCTCCGGGTGGAACCTCACTGTAAACCTCCTTTCCCCAGTGTTATAAACACCTGATGGCTGTGCACAGGCTCCCAGTGGAACCTCACTGTAAACCTCCTTTCTTCAGTCTGTTATAAACACCTGATGACTGTGCACAGGCTCCGGGTGAAATCTCACAGTAAACCTCCTTTGTTGCAATTTTGCTTACAAGGGTTTCATTATCTGTGGTTAGCTGCAGAAATTCCACAGAAAGGAAGAGAGGCCACATTTATAACTTACTACAGTATACTGCAGAATTGTTCTACTTTAGTATTAGTTATTGTTGCTAATCTCGGATGCCTAATGCATACACTATTTACATCTTAAGAATGTTGGTACAGTACAGGAACAGACAAGGTCATGTAAGCTCCACATTATCAGAGGATCTACTGGGGATACCCACAAGAGAGATTCCTCGGGAGGCCTTGGAATGCATTGCCAGTGGATGGAGGGGAGTGTTACACAACTTTTTTTCAGAAATTTTTATTACTTCTTACACACTGACTCCATTATTTCTGGATTTTCCACTGAAGTAGCAGATCTGACTATTTTTTTCTAATCTACAGTTTTTTCTAATCTACAGCTTTTCTACCTTGAATTATTAACTAAGGGCCTTTTCTCTGCTACCTCAATTCTAAGATGAAAAGCAGGGAAGTGCTTTAATGTTCAGTTTATTACTTTACAACCTGTAACAATCTGTACTGTTCATAAGGAGGTACTCACCATTCCCACCAAAGATATGGATATCCAACTGCTCACAAAGGTACAGTACAAATGTGTTCACCTGAGGCAGGAGGCCAATGAAAAACACTATAGGGAAACAGAGTGTAAACACTGTAGAAGGAAAGAAGAGCACATTAAAAAACACTGCATCCACCCTGCTGTTCACTTAAAGATCATAATGAGTAATGAAATCACATTTAACATCACCTACTGTGTCACTTTTAAAAGCTATGATTTAAAATAAGTTATGTCTATGTAGTTGATTAGATATTAAAATGCTTCCAACTATAAAAAAAGTTTTAAAAAAATCATCTTATGAGGCTGGGTATATAGCTCAGTGATAGAGCATATTTGCCTAATATATATGAGGCCTTAGGTTCAATTCCCAGCACCACACACACACACAAAAATCATTTCAACCACTTTTTTTTTTTCTTCTTTTGTCTTTTTGAGACAGGGTCTCTCTGTAGCCCCAGCTGGCTTGGAACTCACTATGTAGACTAGGCTGGCCTCAAACTCACAGAGATCTGCCTGCCTCTGCCTCCTAAGTGCTCGGTGCTGGGACTAAAGGCGTGTGCCACCACACTGGCACCACTTTCATTTTTTAAGACAAGGTCACACTATGTAGCCCCGGTTGGCCTAGAACTCACTATGTAAACCAAGCTGGCCTCAAATTCACAAAGCTCTGTCTGCCTCTGCCTCCTAAGTGCTGGGTTAATCCTTAAGTGCTGGGTTAATAGGCGTGCGCCACCACGCTTGGCATCAGTCATTTTCACATAACAGAACTCCAAAATGTAGAATAATAATAATAATAATATCTCTCCCCTCCTGGCATCATCTTCGAGAACAGAATGATTATAATTATAAATCATTAGCTTTTTTTATTCATAACAGCTCTATAGCTTTGTTCCTCAGACAGAACTAGAGTACAGTCAAATAAGCTTATTATAACCATCAGTAAACTTTTGCAAACAAGTTAACTGATGTCAAGATTATAAATTTAAAAAAATTGAAACAGTAATTAGTTTATTAGTTTAAGGGGAAATTATCCAAGATGGGAAATATACAGCAAATCCTTTTACAATATTTTGAAACAAATACAGAGTTGGAAGTTAAAATGAAAACTAAAATCTTATATTAACTTCAAATAAATTTACTAAAGTTATGCCCCTCAAGGAATTTTTTTTAACTTAAAAAATTTATTGAGAATTTTATACATGCATGTAAGGTGTTTTGATCAAATTCATGCTCATTCCCTCCCCTCCAACTCCCCCCATAGCTCCCATCACTTTTTTCAAGATCAGAGATATTTTAAAGATGACTCACCAATAACCAAATCCCTGGCTGATATAAACACTAGTGGATTGGTGAAAGTTATTCCATATAATCTGAATTTGGTTGTGGTTAGGTGTCTGCTGCCATAATCCAAGAGCCAAATAAGAGCACAACATAAGCAGAAGTAGACTGGTCTACTGTAGGCGATGATGCGGTTATGGCCCTGCGAATGACAGTTTTTTTCAGTCAGTTTAGATCACTTACAGAATCACAACTAATTACTGACATCATTAATGGCTTAGACTCTAAGGGTTCAGACCATTTCTACATGACAAGCAGGTTTTGATGGCTGCAGACAAATGAAAAAAAAAAAAGTAGAGAAAGGGAATAAGACCAGAAGGAAGCCTACTGCTACCAAGCTGAATCAAAGGCACCAGCATGAACTCATTGTTTTTAACAGGCAGACAAGTAGAGACAAGAAAAGAAGACACACACATATGTATGCGTGTGTGTGCATGTATATTTTGCCCATTGAGAGGATGCAGAAACAATAAATTCTAATAAGGTTACTAGCATCCTGACTTTAGTTTACAAATACTATTATTCACAAAAAAGAGCCATGGTTTCATAGGAGGAAAAAAAAAAAGATGGTTTGGGGTCAGGGCAGGGAGAGTATGAACCAAACCTGGTTCATATTGCTATTTCAGAAAGGAAGGAAGCCTTTAAGGAATCATAGGGCTATGCCAAAAGGACAGAGAGGACACCTTGATGGGCTTCAAGTGGCCCAATAAGGATGACCTGAGTATCAAAGCAAGAACTGGTAACTGCAGTTCACAGTAACACAACCCATGATCCACACACACACACACACACACACACACACACACACACACACACATATACACACACTCATGCGTGAATACATACAGACACACATATAGAGAGACAGAAAGACGGTTGGGGTCAAATTCAGAGGTAGAGTGATTGCCTCACATGGATGAGGCCGTGTTCATCACAGTGTCACAGATAATCAACTAAGAGAAGATAAAGCATTCCTTTTAATAAGCGTGTAACTAAAAATAGCAGTAGAATAACAGAATTGGAAGATCAATATTTGGAACTATCAAATGGTAATTGATTCAGGCAAGAAGGCTCGGCAGATACTAAACAAGGCAGAAGTTTGTGAAGCGCTAGGATTTTTCCAATGAGACACTTAGTAACTACAAGAGGAAAATAGTGACATTCCAGTAAAGTAGCTCTGAAAGGAGAGGTTTATTCCTCCGAGGATATTTAACAATGTGTAGGAACATTTTTTAAAGAAAATATTTTATTTGTTATTTCTATTTATGTGTATGAGTGTTTTTTATGGGGAGCAATGTTACCAGCATCTAACTAGAAATTGAAGAAGATCTGTAATGAACCTAACAGTACCTCCAGCCTCCACAAAGAATTATCCAGTCCCAAATGTTAATACTGCAGATCTGAAAAACCTGAAGATGCCACCTTACCTGAAAGACCAGAGTTCACATCATAGTAAGAGGATAAACCAGTATCACATGAATTCTGAAATGATGCAGAACACAACACTTTCATAGTATTCCTACCCCAAATAAGGCTTGCCTCTAATAAGAAACATCAAACACAAATTGGGGAATAGTCCATGACATAACTGGACTATAGTCATTAAAAAAAATTTCAGTACCGGGAAAGACAAATACCAAAGAACCACTCCAGACTGAAAGAGAGTTAAGAGACCAAATGTAGAATCAGGAACTTTCCAGTGCAAACCAAGACAGTGGGCAAAACTTCAGAAACACCTGTAGCTTGGAAAACAGCCTATCAGGGCTGATGTCCTAACTTTGATAATTATGTTGAATTAACATCCAAAATGTTTTGGGGAAACATACATTGAGGTATTAGGAGATAGAGCTATCATGTTTGCAGAGGAGGAGGAAAGGAAAGGGGAAAGAGAAAAGAAAGAGTTCACAGGCCAGGACGGGATAGAGGCAGAAAGGTGACGTTTAACATGGGGGATCTGGGTGATTAGCAGCGATGTTTCTGTACTCTCCTTGCAACTGTTCTGTATGCCAGAAATCACATGAAAATTCCAAGTTAACAAACAAAGAGTCTACATATCATTGTACTTCAAACACATTCTTACAAATGATTAACATAATCAGTCAAAAAAACAATCATTTTTCTCCCTGATTTGTTCTGGTCTCATTAACTATCCCAATATATGGGTTAAAAATGTTAAAAAATTTATTAAATTCAGGAGATTTTTGTTTGTTTGTTTTAGAGACAGGGTCTCCCTATAGCCCCAGCTGGCCTTGACCTCATAGATCTGCCTGCCTCTGCCTCCCAAGTGCTGGGACTGAAGGTGTGAGCCACCATGTCTGGCCTTGGAGCTTAACTTTGAACTAGCTTACTTTTTAATATAGTTTTTTAAAACAGGATTTCATTCTTTAGCTCACATTGGCCTGGAATGCACATAGCTCTGATCAGCCTTAAACCCACATCAATCAGCCCTCCTCAGCTTCCCAACAGATACAAGCCAGTACACCCATCTCTGAACTACTTTAAAGAGACTGTCCTTTGATCTTCTATTAAATAAATAACTCTCGTTAAGTCCAGAACTACACCATGTATCTGCTAAGGCAGATAATATTTTCTGTAAAGTCACAAGGTGATTAGCACAGATTTCACCTCATTACTTAGTACAGAAGTCTTAAAGACCTAAAGACAGCCTAATGCATTATACCGGCTTATTCTTGCTCTTATTATCAAAGAAAAATAAGCTTTTCCTACTTCAAAATTCTACTTTCAATATTCATAATTTATTTTCAAATTTTATTAAGTGTAAATAATCAAGCTTATGTGGACTGTATCTATCTAATTTATAATCTCCACCTGAACCAAGCTGTCAAAAAAGTGAATTATTATGCTCATTTTCAACCAGGATTTAGAGTTCATCAGTACAATGTCATTTCTTTTCATGCTAATAAATCAACTACTTGGTGTTTTAAAACTTAGATGACAATATAAATATAAAACCTAATTTAATCTGACACATGCCAGAAGAAAAACACAGGCTTTGGTAAGTGTCAAGGATATAAACTGTAGTCATATGGGACTAGAGAGATGTCTCAGTGGTTAAGAACACTTGCTGTTCTTCCAGAGGACCTGGGGTTCAAGTTCCAGCACCCATATGGCAACTAACAACTCCAGTTCCAGGGAATTTGACACCCTCTTCTGGCCTTTGCAGACACTGCATGACATGGGTGTACTTATACATGCAGGCAAAACACTCATATACATAAAATAAAATAAAATATTTTTAAAAATTGTAGTCATATTAGGAGTAACTTACATGTCTGGGAGAAGAGGAATCTGGCTGAACACTCTAAAAAATAACACAGAAAGATAGATTAAATTACTGAAGCCCCAGTCATTTTATAAGCAATTTTTAAAATATCATAAGTGATTTCAGGTAAACGTCTCACAACCAAGAAATCATGCACATCAATTTTGCTTTAACATGAAGCATCAGTGCTGAGCACTAGTTCACTGTGAGAGTAAACATGGCTTACATACATTTTTCCACATTCTTACTTCTTTTGTTTTTGTTTGGTCTTTTTGAGACAGGGTTTCCCTGTAGCACCAGCTGGCCTGGAAGTTGCTATGGAGACCAGACTGGCCTTGATCTCACAGAGATCCACCTGCCTCTGCCTCCTGAGTGCTGAGACTAGTCATTCTTCTTTTGATTAGTTAATGATTGGCAACTACTTAGCTCAATGCTTTTGAAATGGCATATAGTAGACAGGTCTATCCCTCTGTCTGGCTTGTTACTACAGTGAAGGAAGAATTCTCTCTCACAGGCTATCATTTCACTCGAGAATTGCATAATAACCTGTTTAGCTAATCCACAAATTCTCAGCTTACTAAATTATGGCAAGTGAAAAAATTATCTGCATTTGCACATTAAAATAATCAAGGACAATTCAGCTGTATCCTTGCAATGAACTTTATTAACATCCTGTGAAACTATTCTAAAGGTATCATGTAGGTACTTCTCAAATCATAACTTTGCCCTCATATTCTAGCTCCTTTCCAGTGGCACACCATGCACCCTCTCCAGGACGGCCTATCACCACCCTGTAGTTCCTCAATGGACCAAGCTCACTGAGTTTGGTGTTCAGCCCTTCACTGGATATGAGTCCAGTAATCTTTGAATTCTTTCAACTTCAGTACCTTTTGAAACTTTTATTTTTGCCCTATTTCTTTTATGACATGATTATTGTTCTAGTTAACTAGTTTCAAAAATCCCAATCACCTTTATCCCTCTTTACTATACTAACCTGAAAGCAGTGGACAAAATTAACAGAACAAGGGACACTAGAGTCAGGGAATGAGTTTACATAGCTTAAGGCAATGAAAGGATAAAGTGGTTGGAAAAAAAAGGTAAGAATGAAGTCCAAGGGGCAAGAGAGATGGCTCAGTGGTTAAGAGCACTGGCTGCTCTTGTGGAGGACCTGGGTTCAGTTCCCAGTACCTACATGGCAGCTAGTAACCATCCATAACTCCAGTTCCAGGAGATCTGATGCCCTCTTCTGACCTCTGCAGGGCACTGCATGCATGTGGTGCATTTAGATACATGCAGGCAGACACTGACACACATAAAATAAAAATAAAAAAGAATTGGGGCTGGAGAGATGACTCAGTGGTTAAGAGCACTGACTGCTCTTGCAGAAGACCTGGGTTTGATTCCCAGCACCCATATGGTGGCTGACAACTGTAACTCCAGTTCCAGGGGGATCCCACACCCTCTTCTGTCCTCTGTGGGCACTGTACCACACTGGTGCACTTAAACACATGCAGGCAATACATTCATACACTAAAAATAATAAATAAAATATTTTTAAAAATAAAAATTAGGGGCTGGAGAGATGGCTCAGCAGTTAAGAACACTAGCTGCTCTTGCACAGGACCGGGGTTCGATTCCCAGCACCCACATGGTGGCTATGAATCATCCTTAACTCCAATTCCAGAGGAATCCGAAGCCTTCTTCTGACCTACACAGCATTGCTTGACAGGAGTGCACTCATATACATGTAGGCAATATACTCATATACATAAAAAATAATAAAATATAAAAAAATAAATTAAAAAAGAGAATGAAGACCAGCAATCATAACATGGAATCACCAAGTTTAATAAAAAAGATATGGCTACTTGTTATTAAGAGAGAAAGGAAAAGAAGTTAAAATGACTTCCTACAAAAGCAAAGTAACCAGAAGAAAAACATATTAATCAGAGGTAATAACACGCTATCTTTCAAATGTGTCTGACCATCTGTTAGATGCATGGAACTAAAGCTTGCAAAAGAACTGAAAACTCTGAGATACAAATCTGGACACAACTCATACAGAGGAGAGGACACTGTACCAGGGTGACCTCACTGGCAAGGAATTATAAAGGGAGAGAAGGGCAAATGAAGCTCAAGACAATTAAGAGACAGTCAACAGAATAAAGAAGCAACAAAGGAAGAGTCACAGGAGAGCAGGAGCCACCCTGCTGTGCAAAGCTGGGCAACAGGAAATGGAAGACAGGGCTGGCAGACGTTAAATGACAGAGCAGGGGGCTGGGCAAAGAATTAGAATTTAAATTTAGAATTGATTTAGCAATTAGAATACAAATTTAGCAATTAGTAGTAATCTCAGAGACTACAGTTTTTACTACAATGAGGCAAACAGTATGGATGGATCTCAAGGAAACAGCAATGACCTGGACGGTTTACTCAGAGGTCTAGCCATAAATGGAGAGAAAAGGGAAAGATAGTCAGGAGTATCTGCAGAACGGAACCAGCAGGTATCAGCCGGGGGAGGGCTCAGCATACCAACACACAGAGTAAAGAGATTCAGTGATTAAAGAGGAAAGGAAACACGCCCCGTTAATAGCCCACACAGATTTTAAGCAGGAGAGAAGAGAGAATTTTGCTAGACATCAGTTGACATGCTTGATTCTCCCATTTTTTGAAAGCTTACAATTGACAACATGTGGTGTTTCTGAGTCAATCAATAACAAAGGGACATTAATATTCTTTATGATGTCTCACAAGAATAAAAACTTATCTACTAAGTTTTGACACTGGTTATCTACTAATGAAAATTTAGTACATTTCACCCACAGACTTCTATAGAAGCTCAAAGAAGTGAGATCAGTGTTGGGTTAGCTAAAAGGAATAATACTTAAGGGTAATTCTTACTGTAACAAATATTCTTTTTTAATACAAAGACCTCGTTTTTAGGTTAAGTTTTATTTATTTATTTATTTATTTATTATGTGTATGAGTGCTCTGCCTGCATGTATGTAAGGGTACTCATGTGTGCAATGGCTGTAGAGGCCAGAAAAGGGCTTCAGATCCCCTGGAACTCAAGTTACAAACAGTTGTTAGCTGCCATGTGGGTACTGGGAATCAAACCCAGGTCCTCTGCAACAGCAGCCAGTGCTCTTAAGCCTGAGCCATCTCTCCAGCCTGTATATTATTATTTTTTGAGTGTAAAACCTTTTTGTTCCATACACAGTCTAATGTAAACCTCCATGGAAAACAATCCTAAAATTTATTATCTGTGATCATTTGGCGAATGGCCTTTTAACACAGCATGGAAGACAGAGATGTTGGTACCTTGAGCAGTGAGTACTGACAGCTAGCTATGACCAGGCAGAACTGGAACACCCAGATGTCTCTGAAGAAGCCTTGGATGAGAAGAATGGATCCCAAAAAAGCCACAAGAATAGCCAGGATGACAGCTAATACATTCTCCAGGATCTCACGGTTTCTGTAGATGGAAAATTAGTGAGTAAGTAAATCATGAATGTAAGAAATTAGCCAGACTATAGAAGGGGAAGGCATCACTGTGAAGTTTGTCAGTGTGTGTTTTGGATGCTGGGTTTGAATAACATTTCAGATCATACAGAAAAAGAAATTAGTTTTATGTGACCACAACACAAATTGTTCTAAGCAGATAAGCACAAGGGTAGATGAAGTTGCACCTAAAACACGTACTGTGGCTTCAGTGTCTACTAAAAACCTTTTCATAACATCTGCTTCTCTGTGAAATATGCTGCAAAATAGTGAACCAACCTGGATGGCAAATAGAGAAAGAAAGAAGCCTAAAAGGCAAAATGACGAAGCAGTTTCTGAAAATTAAAACACTTGCTATTTTATGAAAAAGCTTATAATCAAATTCCAATGCCAAGTGGTTCTCTTTTCCTCACAGTGTAAAATAATCCAGTATCTCATTTACAGAACTGCTTAAACACAGGCTCCTACATATTTCAAGAATGAAGGCACCAATAAAGCCCATCAATTCCACTCCCATCAAAGCTGCAGAGACAACTTTACACTTTAGCAAAGTGGTACCTAAGAGAAGCCATGGGGTGCCCAAGAGATCACAAACATAAGTGAAGAGGATCATTATGCTACCTCCAAAAAGTTAAGAATCTGTACCATTACTTCCTTGGGAAGTTTTACTCATAAATGTTAAAGAAATACTTCTAGAAGGTTTGTGTTACAGAAACATTAAGTAACATGGAAATATGCTCAGCACACTTGCAGGACAAAAGATGTCACATAAGCGTTGTTAATAAAAACATACACATAGAGACTGAAAACACATTAGAGCAAAATATTATCTGTGATAGATCTCTTTGTGTGGAGGGCTCATGGCACGCGCCTTTTTCTATTTTTGAAACTTTCTCTTAAATTTTCTTCGGTGGGTAAGGAATTTATAATCACAGAAAATTTAAGGTTTTTTAAAATTAACCCAACACTACATTTATAGTCATCAATCGCCTATCCCTTCATAAAACATCTGTGTTATTTAATACTATCACCAGATTAAGAGTCCAACCATATTCTCAAGTCAAGAAGTTACTGGTATTTTCATTTGACCTTAGGTGGGAGGGACATGATTGCCCAATCAACACTGTTATCAATCCTCACGCCACCCTGCGCACTACCTTCCTTATGACTGAACCCACGCTCTCCTTTGCTCTTCAAAACTTCCCATGTTCATGAATCCAATTACCAGTTAGTTCTTTAACTGTGTTTTTGGTGCCCTAGCTAATAAGTTTTATGTAACTTAAGGCAATTTTTTTTCCTTTTTTTCTTCTGTTTCATGCTTTACTGTCTTATGTTCCACATTTATGCCGATGATCAATTTTGATTTAGTTTTTATAATGTGGTATACAAGGTAAAGATCCAAGTTTTACCTTCTGCATATGCAATCAACTACTTTAGCAGTATCTCTTCTTCTCTGATTTACATAATATTTGCACGACAACTGGCCTGGGGTTTTCTCTGTAGGATTTCTAACGACAAGTCCTATTAATTTGGATGGACAGTATGATAATGAACTTTGTTATTTATGTCTTTTAAGAGAGCTGTCCATTTCCTTTTCTACTGTCAAATTTATTTACATATGGCTGGTTCATATTATTCTCATTACTTTAAGATTTATTATTTATTCTCGTGCATTTGTATGTGCACATGAGCACTTGCACAGGCCAGAAGAGAGCCTAAGGATCCTCTGGAGCTGGAGTTACAGGTGGTTGTGAACAGCCTGATGTGGGTGCTAGGAACTGAACTTGGATCCTCTGTAGGCGCAGTGAGTGCCCTTAACTTCTCGGCCATCTCTGCAGCCCCATATTGTCATTCCTTTGAAGACTTCAGAAAATGCAGTGACAACACATCTCACGTTTCTAAGTGCTTGTTTGTGACTTTTCTTCACTGAGCAGCTAAGGATTCATCAGTTTTACTAATGCCTCCCAAGATAAAGCTTAGAGTCTCCTTGAGTTTCTCTATTGCTGTTTCCTCCTTGGATCCTGTTCTACTCCTTATGACCTTCTTCAGTCTCCTTACCTGGGACAAACGTGCTGTTATTCTTCCAGTTTCCTAAAGAAGTGAAGTTATGGATTTGAGATTTTTTTTTTTTCCTAATCTAGGTGTTTAGTGCTCTAAAATTTCCCAGGTACTATATTTCAGCATCCTCCAAATTCAGACATTGTTTTCATCGTCATTTAGCTTAAAATACTTAGTCTGCCTCTCAAATTCTCCTCTACCCGATTACTTAATATATCAGAATTTTCCAAGGCTCAATAATTGAATTCTGCTGTCAGAGAGCATGCTACATGTGATCTGAACTATTTTTATTGACCTTTGTATTATGGACTGGAAGGTCTGTCAACATGGTATTTCATGAATGCTTAAAGGATACATAATTGGGGCTGGAGAGATGGCTCAGTGGTTAAGAGCACTGACTGCTCTTACAGTGGACCCGGGTTTGATTCCCAGCACCCACATGGTGGCTACGAACCGTCCTTAACTCCAGTTCCAAGGGAACCTGACACCCTCTTCTGACCTCCATGGCACTGCACGACAGGGGTGCACTGACATACATGCAGGCAATACACTCATACACATAAATAAAATATTAAAAAAAGCATACATAATCTTGTTATGGGTGGAATGTTCCAAGAGTGCCAACCAACTCAGGCTGGCTAACAATATGGTCACTGCAACTCTATCTCCCTGCTATAGCCTGAGTCTTCAATGTCCCCCAAAGGACTATGTGTTGAAGGTTTGCCCCCATCTCTAGAGCTACTGGAAAGCTGTGGCACCAGTAAGAGGTGGGCCCTAGTAGAAGTGCTCAAGCTATTGGGGGTGTGTCCTTGAAGGAGTTATTGGAAGCCCAAACCTTTCCTGTAGGTCTCTGCTTCCTGGCTGTCATGAAGTAAGCAGCTTCCTCTATACTTTTTCACTATGAGGTTCTGTCCTGTCACAGGCTCAGCAGCAAAGAATCAAGCAATCATGGTTGGAAACTTGTAAAACTTTGTGCCAAAGCATACCTTCTTCCTTTAGAAGCTGAGTAACTTTGTCACAGTAACACAAAGCTGACTGATTTTCAATATATTTATTCAACCAATTATTTAAATGAAGGTTCCAAAATCATTTGTAATTGTGGGTTTTTCTGTTTCTCTTGCTTCTATCAGCAACTGCTTTATGGGTTTTGGGAGGAGTGGGGGTGCAGGGATCAAACCCAGGTCGTGGTGTACGCTAAGCATGTGTTCTGTCACTGGGATATACTGTCAGCTCTATGTAGCTTTGTTTTAGGTACAGAACATTTAGGATTGTTAAAGTGTACAGGTTAAACTGAGCCTTTATCACTATGAAATGACTTGTTTTTGATTCTTGACAATAGTCTTTGCTCTGAAATCTACCTTTCCTCACTGACATTGATACAACCCTCTCCACTATTCTTAGTTTTAGCAAGGTGTGTTCTTTTCCTTCTTTTTTATTTCTAACCCATTCCTGGTTTTGTTTTTAAAGTATGGTCCTTGTTGGTAGCACAGAGCTGAATCTTGCTTTTTTTAATTTTTAACATTTTATTTTGTATGAGTGTATTGCCTACATGTGTGTAAGTGCAGCTATGTCATGCAATGCCCTTGGAGGTCAGAAGAGGGTGTCAGATCCCCTGGAACTGGAATTACAGATGGTTGTTAGCTGCCACATGGGTGTTGGGAATCAAACCCAGGTCCTCTGCAAGAGAAGTCAGTGCTCTTAACTGCTGAGCCATCTCTCTAGCCCCACAAAATTGTCAGGTATGGTGTTGCATACCTTTAATCTCAGTGCTCAGGAGACAGTGGCAGATGAGATCAAGGCCAGCCTGGTCTACATAGCAAGTTCCACGTCAGCTGGGGCTATTTGAGACCATCTCAAAACCAACACCACAACAACAGCAACAAAAGAAAGAAAAAACACTTTCAAAAATTATGTGAATGTGTGTGTGGTGGGATGGGGGGGGTGCAGCTCTATGTTGCCATCAAGGACCGTAATTTAAATATAACACCAGAAATGAGAGGAAAGATGCATCTTCTGACAAAAAAACACAAAAGATTTTTAAAAAATCATGTGTATCTGGGCTTATAGGCAATTATGAGCCATCTGGTCTCAGTGCTAAGAACTGAACTCCAGTTCTCTGCAAGAGCAATATCCTCACCTAACCACTGAACCATCTCTTCAGTCCCTTGAGTAGTTTTTATTACTCTATTTCATGATCTTTTTTGATATGCCTGATACAACTTTCTTTTTATTATTTGGAATGGTTACTTTTGTTTTTAATAGTCAAGTGATAATTACTAAAAATTACAGTAATATATTCTCATTCCTTCTTTCTGGGGTTTATGCTATTACTGTCATGAATATAACTTTTATGTATGTGTGCTGGTTAGTTTTAACTGTCATCTTGACAGAATCTACAATCATCTGGGAAGACAACCTCAGCTGAGGAAGTATCCAGATCAGGTTGGCCTGTGGGCACGTCTATGGGGGATTACTTGACTGCTGACTGAGGTAGGGGTTGTACCATTTCATGGGCTGGGCCCTGAACTGTTCAAGAGTGAAGGAAGCTAGCTGGGCACACGCAGCAAGGTACAAGGATACGTTTATTTTCACTTCGATCTTGGCTATGGATGTTGTAGACTAGCTATTTAAGTTTCTGCCTTTACTTCCCCCAAATGACAGACTATGACCTGGAATGGTTAACCAAATCACCCTTTCTTCCCTAAGTTGCTTATGGCTAGGGTGCTTTTTCTTAAATCACAGAAACAGAAATGAGACTGAAACAGTATGTTGTGAACCACAAAAATCTTGTTTTAATTTTGTTTGAATAGCCAATTATCTCTTAAAGACATTTAATTCCTAGGGAAAGCACCTTACATATTTATCCATGCAATGCCATTTCAAATCTGTCTTTGGAGGCCCAGCTGTCCATTTGACATCCTCTTCCTCTGCCTGAAGGATACTCTTCAGTATTTCTTGCAGTACTGACATATTCTTCCCATGTTTCCCAGTTTGAAATGTCCTTATTTCTCCATGGTTTTCAAGAGATACTCTTGATGACCAAGAAATATAGGTTGGCAATCCTCTTCCTTTCAATACCTTAAAAGCATCATTCCACTGTCTTCTCAAACGCCACATTCTCAGCCAGAGCATGGATGTCTTCCATATGCCTGTTCCTCTGTACAAACTGCTCCTTCAAAGCACTTCTTCTGGTCTTTAAGTTCACCGTGGGAGGTGAGCAACAGTGTCCTTGGTGCAGTGTTCCTCACGCTGCTTCTGCTTGGGTTTCATTGGGCTTCTTCATGTGCATTTCTAGTTTTCCTGAACTCTGGGAAGGTTTCCGCCAGCATTTTTTCAAGTCTTTTCTGCATCCCTGTCTCTTCTTGAAGTTGTCTCACAGCATGTGCATGTGGTTTTTTAACGCTTTTTGTCCCTGGGGGACTGGGATAGGGAAGGCTTTTCTTTGTTTATTCTAGATGGTTGCTGTTACTGTGCCTGCCTACAAGTTCACTTATGTTTTCTTCTACAAGGTTTTATCTACCAGTAATCCCACCAAGTAATATATATATATATATATATATCTTTAATCTCAGACATTGTAGCATTTTCATAAGTTTGATTTGGGATGCATTTTTATATCTATATTAGGCACTTTTCTGTTGCTGTGATAGAAACACTGACCCAAGCAATTTATAGAAGGAAGAGTATCTTTGAGCATACTGTTCCAGGGGAATTACAGTCCGTCATGGCAGGGAGGCATGGTGGCTGGAGGTGGCTGGACCAGGAGCAGCAGAAGCTAAGCTCTCACATCATCACGCAGGCACAGGAAGCAAGAGAGCGACTGGCAATCTGGCAAGGCTTAAGAACTCTCTAAGGCCACCCCCAGTGACGTGCTTCCTCCAGGACAGTCATACCTTCTAAAATCTCCCAAAACAGCGACACCATCTAGGGACAGAATGTCCAAATACTTGGAGCCTATGGGGGACATTGTCATTCAAACCACCACAATATCTTTCATGTCTGTTTCTTTTTTAAAAATAAATGGAACACATCTGCTCTAACATCTCTGCCGGTCACAGGCCTGTCTTGATGATTACGCACTGGGCCATATTTTCTCACTTCTTTGCAGAGCTGGCCATCTTTGACTGAGGTCAGATGCCAGTCACAACTTGTTAGGTGGTACGTATTTCTGGTTTCTAGAAATCTTGAGTTCATTAGGCTATTTTGATCCCTTAGGGTCTTGCTTCTATGACTTGTTAGTTGGATCTGAAGTAGAGCTCATTGGATGCTGATGCTTCCATATATTTAATGCAAGATCTTCCTGAGCAAACAGCTTGTTCACAGGCATGAGCTTATCAGTACTCTGCTGAATATAAGGGAACCTGCTAGAGATCTCTGAGGTGCTCTCCCAGCAGCTCAAGCTATGGGCTCAAGCTGCCTCCATCTCCTTGGACCCTCTGTTTCACCTCTTCAACCTGACCTGTATGAATTCTAAGTGCCCGCTCCCTGTGCCACAAATGAGGAACTCTTACTGCACCAAGCTGTAGCAGTTTAGAGTGCACACCAGTTGCCTCTCAGCTCTCAGGATCACTGGCCTTTCACGGCTCATCTCCAAGGTTTTCTCTGTTTCTGTTTCACAGGAAGGTAAATCCAGTATTATTCCTATTTGTTGACCAGAAGCAACAGTTGTTCATTCAATTTTGTAATTTACCACTAAGACAGTAGTGCAAAACAGGGAAACAGAGCTTCTTAGAACTTCCATATTTAGTATCACAATACCTACAAGATCATCAACACTTCATATGCTCTCTAAGCATCAACTGATGACTCAGATTAATAGTAAAAAGATATTATATAAATCCATTAAAATGACAAACTTTAATGGGCTTCAGAGGATAAATGTTTAATAACCTTCTATCTTTAAGTTTATCTTAACAGGATGAAAATAGCATTCTCTGACATGATCATCAGGTGAAAGCTTCAATGAGTGATAAGGAAAACCTGACTTCACATCTTTGATGTCACACTATGGTCTCACCTATCAAACAGCGCCAAAAGTGTGAGTCTGTCAAAGTTAACGCCAATCCATAGCTGGGGTAGGATCCAAAAGCGGTAATAGTGCTTAACCTTTTGGGCAGCTTCTTCTGTTGGGCCATAAGTGGCTGCCAAATCAGGGCTTAAATCAATGTCCTGTTGCTCCAACAAATCTGTATCAATGGTCAGCAGCCTGTTCAACCGAATCTGTGGGAGAGAGAGCTAAAAGAAAGTTAGTGTTCAAAGAATTAAAATATTTTAAATAAATCATGGCTTGAGTTTGTCAGCTTGTAAACTATTTAAAAACCCAATTTTACTCTAGTTCATTCTCTGTGAAAATTTTATGATTATTAGAATCTAGAGAAAGTGGCAACAGGAAATGATCAACAAAGCAAACTGATCAACAGACGGTCAGGAAAGATTTTATTAGGCAAGACGTTTGAACGATCTTACGAAGATTTACAACTGTACAGCCAGTGAAACCACCAAGTTCCTCGCAGCGATCACTGGGGCTTCACTCGTCCTTTCTCCTTGAGCTCTGAACGGCACTGTCAGGGGCAAACCTGGGCTCTTTAGCAATCTGTCTCCTTCTAGGTCTCATCACTGTTATTGCTGTGTATTTTACACCCCTCCCCCTTGTTCTAGCAGGCTCCTCACCTGCAGCTATGCAGGAAAGTGCTAATTTTAGTTCATCTGTTCTCCAGTTCCGCAGTTTGCCCTTCCTCCAAGGCAGCAAAAGCTTACTGCTCTTGGCACAGCCCAGCCAGTATTTTGCTACCTCAAGGATCCCATGCCAGTTAAACATGAAAGGCAGCGACACCACCCTCCTTCCATTTCTACTTTCCAGTGGCAATGCCAGAAATACACAATAGCAGCAGTGAAAGTCTTTACAGTTGAAACATACATGTGGTGATAGTAAAAAAGAAAGTTGCCATTTCTGTCCTTAAACACTGATTGCTACTCCCCCAAACATTTTATTATCTGTGCCAGGGTTACTCAACTTTGGCACTATGGACATTTTTGATGAGATCATCTTTGTAATGCGGGCTATGCCACACACGGTAATCTGTCTCACAACATCCTTAGCCCAGGCCCACATCAGACCAATGGCATTCTTCCAGTTGTGCCAAGGCAAAATGTTTTCAGACACAGCCAAATATTTACCGGTTTGAAACCACTGTTCATTTCACATCCCCAGTCTTAAAACCCTGCTCACACTCATCTTCAAGGAGTCACTAAAAACAATGCCTTTGGATAGACTCCACCTTTGTACTGCTAATAAGGATTCCATCTATTTTGTGTTTTCCACCTTGAATATATGCATCTTGATGGCAAAAGCAGTATTTAAAAAAAAAACCCCAGTCTATCCCACACAGTGTATTTTTATATAATGTCATTGCTCAGCTTTCTCCCAAGACACACACTAACTAGTAAATAAGTTAATAACCAACACCAAATCATAATATTTAAATTATGCCAATGCCAAACAGTATAATCAAACATGGCAGGAGCCAGTAAGCTGGCTCTGTAGGTAAAGGCACTTGCTGCCAAGCCTGACAACCTGAGTTTGATCCCTGGGATCCACACGGTGGAAAGAGAGAACCAACTCCTACAAGTTGCCCTCTGACCTCCACATGTGCACCATGGCTTACATGTACACATAAATCCATACATACAAAATAACTGTTCAAACAAAAAGAAAAAAAAAAGGTGGCACAACCAGATTACGAGGGTGCTAAGTAGGCCTTTACGCATCCTTGAAATATAAAGCAGTACAACTGCTGATTCACAAACATGGCTAATTAAATTCCATAAGGTTATGTTTCTTATCAAAGGATTTATTAGAAGATCCAAAGTTCAGAAGGCAAAGGGGATTCTGCCATAATTTTCAGCAAAGTTAACATTCTATGATTTTATCAGTTTGCCTGAATTTTTATAGCTATTTCTAGAAATACATTTTTCAAATCGAACCTGAAAGTGTATCACATAACAACAATGAAGACAAAACTTACCACATCATGTGGATAAAATCGAACTGAGGTAGAACTGGATACATGAGAATCTGTGTCACTAAAATAAAATGAAAGGTTTAGGGAATAAACAGCTTGTTAAATAGTGTAAGAAAAGTAAATTCTTCAACAATTAGGCAATATTTAGACTATCTTCACCTTCCATATAAATTCCAAACTGCAAAAGTGGTATTTTCCTGAGGTCTGATCCAGAGCATGTTGTGCCTGGGTCAGAGGGACCACATCAAGACTCTTCAGCTAACTGAAATCTTTATACCTAGTTTCCCCATCAGTAACATAAAATAACAGTGCCTATTATCATGAGGTTCCTACAAATGTGTTTAGATGAGATAATCCAAGGGAAGCAATTAACAAATTGACTAGAACAGTACAGACAAAACAAATTGTAATAGACAAGAGCCTGGAACGTCAGACAGTTTCAAGTTTTATAGTGTAAGGGATTATTCTTCTGCTGAATTATATTAAAAACGGGTTTCCACTTTCCCCACAACATTTCACTGTTACTGAATCAGCTAAATTTCCAATTTCATCATTTTTTGAAGAGTGAATTCTGTAATTAGACTACATCAGTGTGCCAAACTGAATAAACACAAGATCCCACAGCTTTAAACAGCTCCTGAAAACTAAAATAACAAGTTGCTAGATAACATTTACAGAGATGTGACCTATTATTAAGTGGAAGTCCTTTGTGAGGAAATGAACTAATTAATCAATAATGGATTTTAAAGCAGCAATGTGGACTGAATCAATAAGAGTAAACATTCTTAGAAAAAAATCAGTACACTCTGAAACTATAAATGATTATGTGAGTCTAATCTCTAATTTATTTGCCTTCTCCTAACATATTTGTTATCTTATAAAGTCTTTCCTAAAAGAAAATAAAGCTAAAGGCAACACGAAACCATTTTTAATAAATTCCTCCTTAAATCTAGTTAAAAAACTAAAATAAAATGAAAGTTGCTTATTTTAAAAGATAACTACCACACCCTTACAAGGAAATAAAAACAGAAAATTATACAAAGAAAGAAACTAACTTATGAGTCCAACTTAACTTCACTGTTTACTTTTCTGATAAGTTTTTTTATATCATGTAATATACAGAAAACATGAAGTATCCAGTTAAGTTTGAAACTGGGAAACTGTCTCAGAAGGTTTAAAGAAAAATTTTATTTAATTTTAAAATACAGGATACATTTTATTAGTTATTAAAATAATGCTTCCTTTTTCCATAGTAAAAAGAAAAAAGAATCATTAATGATCTGGAAACATATACACTATGACAAATTATTAAACTTGATATGAAAATTTTTAAAGCAACACATCTCCCTTGGTGACTTACAGTTAATAATTCATTGTATGTTTGAAAATTAGTAAAAGCAGATTTTAAATGTTCTTTTTTTTTTCTTGTAATATACCTTTATTTTTGTCAATATGCTGTTAAGAACAATGAGCACAAATACAAGAATATAATCTGTGTTTTCCATATTTTGGTCTTTCATACCAAATATATCATTTTATAT